GGAGTCCACACTCTGGGAAGCAGGAGTCACCTTCAGGTGGCAGGTGATGTAGATCTGCCAAGAGCACGAGTGGATCAAGCTACACCAAGGCCTCCATCTTGGGCTTGTAATGGAAATGCTGTTCCACAACCTTCACAAACCCATGAAAGCAGAAGGTACCAGGATCAAGTACTCACTGAGCTCCTGGCATCCTGATAGAACCTGAAGGCATCCAGCTTCATCTGCAGCTTGGTGTCCTGGGTTCTTGGCATGAACTGCGAGCTGGAGCCTGTGGATTTGGCATCAGTCAGGCACCTGAAAGGAGAGAAGGCAGTGTAGAACTGGAGAGACGGCAGGCAGTGTTCACTAGCTCAAGCCACCCGAGGTCACACCCACCCTTTGTTCTCAATGAAGGAGTAGCTGGGGGTGGAGGTCTGGTCAGGGACCAAGGTGGCCACGCAGCTGTCCACAAAGAGCCGAAGGGGCTGGTGGTTGGCCTGGGTGACGGAGGCTTCAATGTTCAGGACGTCCCCCAGGTAGAACACATTGGAGGACCTCTGGGAGCTCCAGTCATCTGGATGAGAAGGGAACCCCAATCTCAAGCATAGATCCCATCGACCCAACTGCACTGGCTGTACAGTAACACCGTGCTTCATCTCAGGGGAGACCTACCATTCATGAGGCTCAGAGAGAAGCCCAGCAGATCCTCAGCAGACTTGGTGGAGGTGTAGGGGACCCAGGTGGGCTTCAGGGCATTGCTGCTCACATTGTACTTCCTAGAAATACAAATAACTTGTACACCATGCTGAATCTTTATCCCCTGTAGAAGAACTAGTAATCAAGTCCTCACCTCATGTAATGGCACTCAATACCAACAACAGCACCATTAGTTCTCACTATAGGCAAGTTAGCAATCAGGGTCGGCTTGTAGATGAGAGAGAAACTGTAAACGAGTTGGTCTCCAGTCATCTAGAAAAACCATAGGTTTGTTAATGATAAACAGTGACAAGAATACAGTAACCCCCCCGCTCATTCACCGTCAGGGCACTGCCACATGAATGCAGCTCAGCCTCGAAGATCAGGAGACCGCACAGTCTCCCAGGCTGAGATCCGTGGGGCTGATCACCTGCCCGGTGCCGAACAGGTCTGTCTTGACCTGCACCACGATTGTACTCTCCCCGCACTGCGACGAGACAGACCGAGACACCTCCTGTCGGTACATTGGCGAATCGAGATATGCCACTCTCCTGCGCTCAGCTGTGGGCTTCCCTATACCCCATCTATGCCATCCGGCCCCGTCACTTAAAGCAGTGCACGACCAAAGCACTGCGAAAACAATTAAATATCCACACACCCCCATAGCAGTTATAACAAACCACTAAGAAGGAAAAAAAAAATCCACACAGAATCGTCAGCTCGAACCTCGTCAATTTATACTCCTACAGAAGTGCGCGCGTCTGTTACATCCATACAGCCTTGCGCGAGTAAAACGGCAGACTTTCACGTGCTGCTAAACTCTATAATTAACATATCACATCAATTCCTCAACCAATCATTCATATATTTTCGCTCGGCGGCCACAGTTACGGTTTTTGTTTGCAAGCAACAGATCAACTTGTACAAAGAGTTAATTCAACGAAACGATCGAGTGCAAAGCTGAAAGAAGCGATGTTGCAGCCGTCCTGAAGCTGGTCCCAATCACTGTTGTTTGTAAACCAACGCTCCTGTAAATGTTTTATTATGGACTGTATTGGTTAATTAAAATGTCGTGTCTAAACACGGAAACAGAGAAGTGTTTTGCCCCATCTACCGTGTTCATTTAAACAATTAGTTCAAGTAGGTATCTGCGTCAGCATGCGTAGACTGCATAGGAACAAGGGAAAGTTTATTCAATTAAAACAATTATATGTATTCAAGCATAACTGAAAGTGAATTCAGCTAGTGTCCACATCTAATCGTGAATTGAAGACCACCGCAGATCTGCAGTGGGTTTGTCACCAATGTGTATCCCAGAGACTCACACTCTCCGTCGTGTGTGTGTGTGGTGGGGGCTCTCCACATCGGTATGTTCACTCTAATTGAGCTTTCTCGGAGACCCTGGACCACTTGTAAGTTATCGATCAAATAACATCTTCAGAAATTAGAAACTGAATTAGATCCTTGCAAATTGAGCCAAGGAGTATGTATGTAGATAGAAAAGTAGTTCAAGTAGGCAGCTGCGTCAGCATGCGTAGGCTGCAAAGGAGCAGGTAAAGGGTTATTCCCCGCTGAAAACATAAGAAAGGAAACACAACGTTTCAGCTGTGGAGCCTTCTTCTTCTTGGCACCCAAAGAAGGTTCCACAGCCGAAACGTTGTGTTTCCTTTCTTCTCTTTTCAGCAGGGGATAACCCTTTACTTATCCTTTCTAGATAGAAACGTTTTATACCCCTGGCCATGTAGTCTGGAATCCGGGAGGTTTTGTCTCCTTACGGAAGTCAGTTCTAAGGTTTAGGAACCTACTGAGAAAACCTACTGGAATAAGACCCAGGGAAATCCTGATATGTTAATAAAGTGACTTTTGACTTTGTGCCATCCAATCAATTACATACTGATTATAATAGTGATAGTTTCATCACTGTTAATAATAGTACAAAATAATAAAACAATGACCGTGGCATCCAACCGAGAACAAGAACACGTAAATAGACGATTTATGTGATTTTACTCTAGATGGTCCTAGTCCACAAGGTTATGTAAGTAACTCTTAATCACGAGTAAAGACCGGGGAACAGGAGTAACATCGACCAACTAAGACAGCAATTCATTAATTACAATTAGAAGCTATACAGGAATTAAAAACACACGAGAAGTCTTCCCTCTGGCAGTTACATACTATATAGGAGGGATGTCTGCGCTTACGCAGTTCAGCTTTTGAATCGTGGAGGAAAGCGCGAAGCTGGTCTTATAAAGAATTTTCAGCAAAGAGCGGAATTCCGTATCCGGAACCATTGAACGGTATACGTGGTGTTCTCATTGCTGGGGGTTCTCATTTCCTAACGGACACAATTGAGACACGTCATCAGTCCCAAGATGGCAGCGTCCGTGGTTGAGTCGTTTAGAGAGCTGCTGGTTAAGTTTCTCATGCCAGAGAAATGTTTCGACGAGTTTTTCGTAAACTTCAATCTTCTACACGGTGAGAGACACCAAGCCGTTCCCTAAACAGTCCTATACAACATATTAATTAATCGATGTACACGTTTTCGTTGCGATTTTGAATCCGTTTTGTAATGCAATGCGGAAAAGCATTGACCGGTGATTATTAACTTTCCGTTTTTATTCTTCTGCTCCTTATGAATCGTGACAGCTCAGATGGTTGACTTTGTGTGTGGTTAGTCGAGGTCATATTCCGCACCTGGAATTATAAGACTCCCTGAATCAAAAAACATTAGCAGGCTTTGTGCACCGGTACTTAAGATTTTCAGATATTTTCTACGGTGTTGTTAAGTAAAGCGACACGCCACCTTAAATCCTATATAAGTACAGACAGTGATGATGTAGAGTTTGAAATACCCAGTGAACAGTTAGGTTCCCAGATATGGCAGTCTAATATCATATTGTATTTAAAGCTGTATGTAAGACTCAGTGGTTCATGAAGCTGGTACTGTTGACAGTAGAGGTGTTTGAAATAGTAAGTCTAAACTATCCGAAAGTGACGTCTGTCTCCTCTGAATAAATTCTCTACATGATAGACAGTAGGGTAACCATATTTTGGTTTTCCCAAAAGAGGACGTGGGGACGGTCATCGACACTCGACACATGCCTCCAAAGTAATGAATCTTTGTGATTTTTTCTAATTAAAAAATCGATTTAAACTCTCTAGTTTTTATTCAACTTCTTAGTAAAGTTTTAAACAGTTGCAGGGTTGCTATTTCTCTTCCATAATGGCAAACATGGAAAAAAACAAAAAAAAGCCCTATTTTAAACGTAGGTTTTTTTTTTTTCATTTTAACACAACAAAAGTCTTAACATCTGAGGAAAAAATGAAGACATCATAACTTAGGAGAAGTCCTCATTAGTTGCAAACATGATCAATTTTAATGAAACATTTTGAAATATAATGAAACGAGTTCAACATTGTTATTTCTCATGGCCATAAGCACAGCCACACACACACAAACCCCAAGCTACGCTGCATTTAAGTTCAAAGCATCTACCGGTAATGCATGGACCAAACGAAAATATATAGGCCTGTCTGTTTACACAGTCTGAGTAACGAGCAAAACAAAATCCCGGACAATTTTTGGAATTTTATCAATCCTGGTCGGACTGATATTTTAGGTTTCAAAAAGAGGACGTCTGGTCACCCTTATAGACAGCGATCCATTTTCTGACAAACCTGCTGCAAGGACAGATGTTCACCTTTTTCCACAAACAGTGACATGGACAGCAGCACAAAACGTTCACAATGGGGGTGCTCTGGCTTGGAAACCCTCCTTCTGCATCATTTCTGATTATTCTAAAGCATTTCTAGTTGATGTGATTAATTTTCAAGACCAGCGGGTTCTGCCCTGCTTTTTCTGACCAGCTCAATGCCAGCTACCGTTCCAGTGGTGAATATTAATCTCCCTCTTTCTGCAGTGCCCTGTCTGAAGGTGGCACTCAGCAAAGGGCTGGGAATAGGAATCATCCTCGGATCGGTGATGGGTGAGTTTTACGTTCTGTTTTGTTTTTTTTACTCTCCTCCCGCGTGGGGGTCTATTTTTGGAGTCTCCTGACGTCCTGAGTCTCGGAAGAGAGGTGTAAGAAGAAGAAAAGGCGAAAACGCGAGACATTTCGAATTTGTCTTCTTGGCTGTGGTGCAGGGTTGGGATTGGCTTCCGTGTTTTTTTTTTTAGTTTTCCGTTATTGCTTAGTTCAGATAGAGCAGAAAGATAGATTGAGGAAGACTTTGCTTTAGCTTTGCCGCCCCTTTCTCAGGAGACGGGTTTAGAGGGTATCCAGTTGTAAAATAGTGTCATTAGTGTTGTTTTTGGTTGTTTGTGTATTTCCAGTCGTTAAACCCTGGCTCATGTGTTAGTCCCCATTCGCCCCGAGACTGAGCCATAGTGGGGGCGGGGAAGAACCGATGTCTAGGGCCGGTTTACAGAAAGCTCTCTCGTTGTGTGACTGTTTTCATGTTTATTTATACCTTCATGCAATTGTTTTTGTGTTGGACGCTTAATGGCTGTCATTACTTACGACAAACACTTTTAAACCTGAGGACAGACTCCTTAGGGTCATCAAACACCTTTTTTCACATACCGGATCCCTTCTGCCAGACGGGACAAAGATGCGGCCAACAACAACAACAACAACAACAACAACAACAACCACAACAACCACAACAACCACAACAGGTGGGCAGACGTTAGGGGGAGACGCCTGGCCAGACCACCGCCCCTGCCGTCTGTTTTGTAAGCTAATGTTCAGTCACTGGACAATAAGATAGACAAGCTGGACTGTCGGATCAACGCGGAAAGGGACCTGAGGGAATGCTGCGTGTCCACCTTCGCTGAAACCTGGCTGAATTCACGCGTCCCGGACAGCGCCATCCAGCCAAAGGGGTTCACCGTTTACCGCATGGACAGAAACCACCAAGCGACCGGCAAGCACAAAGGAGGAGGCGCTGGCTTCCTGGTCAACAGCAAATGGTGCACCGACGTGGAGGTCACCTCTAAATCCTGCTCCCCGAATCTAGAGCACCTGACCATCAAATGTCGACCCTTTTATTTGCCGAGGGAGTTTTCCGCCACCATTATTACGGCCAATTACATTCAACCTCAAGCCTGCGAGGAGGCAGCACACGGAGAACTCCAGGACATTATCAGCAAACACAAAAACTCCCACCCGGAAGCCGTCTCAATTGTAGTGGGGGACTTCAACCCATGCAATCTGAGGAAAATACTGCAGAAATACATTCAGCACGTCACTGTACCGACACGAGGAGGCAGTATTTTGGACCACTGCTACACAAAAATAAAAGGGGCGTACAAAGCGCTTCCCGATCTGAGATGCGTTAAGTTGGACCACATCGCTCTCCTGCTGCTTCCGGGCTGCAAACAGAGGCTGAAGGCCTCCCCCATTGCGAACAGGTCAGTGCGCTGTTGGTCTGAGGAGGCAGAAAGCAGGTTAATAGACTGCTTTGATTGTACAGACTGGGACGCATTCAGAGCTCCCACACAGATTTAAATGAGTCCACCGACATGGTCACCAGCTACATGAAATATTGCAGCGACAGTGGTGTACCAGAAAAGAACATGTGGACCGTGGTTCAACAACGACATTCGCAATAAAGTAAAAGATAGATCCTCCAAGTTCAAATCTGGGCACACAGAGCTGTACAGGGAATCATGGGATGCATTAGAAAAAAGCAATAAAACGCGCTAAAAGGAGCTACAGACTGTGACTTGAAACGCAGTGCGCTGACACCCGGAGGCTGTGGCAGGGATTACAGTCAATCACAGGCTACAAGGGCTGCAGCCAGGAGATCGACACGAACAGCACATCCCTGCCTGACGAGCTGAACCATTTCCATGCCCGCTTTGGTGCTCTGAACACAGACACTGCTGAGAAGACCCCAGGTGTACAGGGCGAGTCTGTTCTGAAACTTTCAGAGCAGGACGTGCAGAAGAGTCTGAGCAGGGTGAAAATCCGTAAGGCTGCAGGGTCTGATGGGATTCCACCCCACGTCCTCAGGATATGTGCAGTCCAGTTGACCAGAGTGTTTAAGGACATCTTTAACTCCTCCCTGTCACAGTCCATTGTCCCCACCTGCTTAAAAGAAACACCACTGTTCCACTCCCTAAAAAACCTGACGTGCCTGAACGATTACCACACAGTAGCATTAACATCTGTGGTGATGAAATGCCTGGAGAAGCTGGTGTTGTCGCACATGAACTCCTCCATCACAGAGGCCCTGGACCCTTTGCAGTTCGCCTACCAGAACGATCAGTGGATGATTTTGTCTCCCTAGCTCTACATACTGTACAGCCTTGGAACACCTGGACACTAAGAACTCATATGTGAGAATGCTGTTTGTGGACTACAGTTCAGAATTCAATTCCATCATACCCAGCCAACTGACAAAGCTCAGGGGATTAGGACTGTGCAACTCTGTCTGCAACTGGCTGCAGGACTTCCTAATCGAGAGACCACAGGTAATGAAACATCAACACCACTCACCCTGAGCACTGGAACCCCACAAGGCTGCTGTCTGTCCAAGGTTGTTCCCTGTTCACTCACGACTACACAGCAAGACACAGCAACAACCACATCATTAAATTTGCAGATGACACCACATAAAACTGATCAGCATCAGTGGATGACGAGTCCACTTACAGGGATGAAGTCGTACTGCTGCTGAGGTGGTGTCATAGCAATAACCTGGACTTGAGTTTGAGTAAAACAAAAGAGCTAATAGTGGACTTTCGGAGACACAGGCCGCACACTCACAGCCCACTCAGTATTGACGGAACGGAAGTGGAAGTAGGTTTTTGGGCATTCACATTTCTAATGACCTCACCTGGACTGTGAACACTGACTCTATCATGAAGAAGGCTCAGCAGTGCCTCTATTTCTTGAGGTGCCTCAAGCGATGGGGGATGCCACTACCTGTGTTGGTGACCTTCTACCGCTGCACCATCACAGAGGACAGTCACTCGGACCACACCCACACCATCAACCTCATTGTAGTTTTATTTATTGCCGTCATTGTTTGCATGTTTGCATCGTTTACATTTGAACTTTTTACTTGTACATTGTCTACTGTTTGTTTGTATATTGTCTTGCTGCACTGTCTGCACTTTGTGTTTTTATACTTGTTTTAGCAATTGAGAGACTTTCTGTGAGTACGAATTCCATTGAACCAGTACATGTACCGGTTACATATGGCAATAAAGTTCAAGTTCAAGGGGGAAGGATATTAAAAAAAATAGACCCACTCAGTCTATAAATGTCACCCCCTGTCTTTCAGTCTCTCACGGACCTCCTCTTCCCCCATCTTCTCCCCCTTCCTGCAGTAAAACTGCCCCAGATCATCAAGCTGTACAGGGCGAAGAGTGGCGAGGGACTGAGCTTCAATTCCATCCTGCTGGAGATGCTGGCCATCACCGGGACTATGGCCTATAGTATAGCCAACAATTTCCCCTTCAGGTAATGCACACGGTGTGCAACTTCTCACTCAATGTTTAATGGAGTGTTCAATGAAGGTGTAACACTGCCCTGTTGCTATGCTCCTGCATGTGCCCGCAGTGCCTGGGGGGAAGCCCTTTTCCTGATTGTTCAGACGGTGACAATCGGATTCCTTATCCAGCACTATGGAGGAAACACCCTGAGAGGTACAACCCTGTTAGAAAATCCGATGAGCTTTCTCTTAGCGTCTGATTGAGTCCGTCATTCATCCGCTCTGTACTGGGGTCAGATCGCGCAAAATGCATGAATTCCGTCAGGCAGTCGATTTCTCCAGATCAGATCACAACAGGGAGTTTACAACACTAAGCCTTTCCAGGCTGAGCCAGTAACCTTCAGGGCGGAAGCTGTAGGGATAGTGTCCTTCGCTTTGGGGTGCTTTTGTAGGGTGATGAAACAGGGGGTCTTTCTGCTCACCCCTCGACCAGTAAAGGAATGATCAGTGTCAAGCTATTTCAAAAAGATTTTAAAAATGATGCTTAATGTTCTGGCACACATGGACATCAAAGCTTTCCATTACAAAACCCAGGACTGTAGGAGATAAATAAAAAAAAGACTAAGAGGAAACAGTCTAAACTTTGTTTGCATGTGTGCATCTGATTTAAAGACGAAAGGAATATTTAAATCAAACTATAGACGTTTTTCAGACATGCTGACCCTATCTATCTCCATTGACTTGTGCTCCCCTGTTCACCCTCTCAGGTGTGGGCTTCCTCGCCGTCTACATCGCCCTGGTGTCGCTTCTGCTGTCCCCTCTGGTGCCCATGGCAGTTATCACCGCCATGCAAGCCACCAACATGCCAGCTGTCGTCGTTAGTCGGGTATGGAAGTAATGTCATGGGACTTGCGCCAGTTCTCAGCTCTACCCACTAGCCCACACTGCCCACCTCCCTCCCTCTGGGTGCCTGTCCCTGGCTCAGACTGCCTTCCCCCCTCACACCCCTCCCAGTGTTAACTAATAACCTGTCCCGTCTGTGAATGAAGGGCACTGAAGCCACGTGCCAACTTTGTCTCCTGTAACAGCTCATACAGGCGGCTACCAACTACCGCAATGGACACACTGGCCAGCTGTCGGCGCTTACAGTCTTCCTGCTGTTCGCCGGCTCCCTGGCGCGGATCTTCACCTCTGTCCAGGTGGGTGTGGGCACAACACCAGTGGGGGGGGGTTTCCACAAAAAAAAAACATCTGGCTTTTGCATTGGAAGCAACAATTAAAAAAACCAAAACTGAACACCTTCATGTCGCTTTGGTAGAGGCGGTGAAATATTCAGGCCAATGGCACCCGTAATTAAAAATTTGAGTTTTTATCTCCGAAGCTGTCAGGTCTCTAAAGTCCATGGTCAGTCAAAACAGAACTCATTCAATGATCAAGTGTCCTTCAGCAGGGTTTGAGCCAAGTGAAGGTGTGAACAGCTTTGTTTTCATTGAAGGGCGTCAGTACCTTTGCCACAGTGATCCCTGATTCTCTTATGTTCCTTGTCTACACTTGTGACAGCTTATCTTTGGGCATTTTAAGGTGTCTGCCTCTGCTCTACTATGGCTTGGATACCCTCTGGGCTCCTTGGGCTTGTATGTTGAATTGACCGCATCGCTTCTCTCACACAGTAAGAGCCCCAGCTTGTGGAGTCCTCAGTTTCTCCGTCTCTAGAGCCTAGATGCAGACTAAATCATTCGTTCTTTCAGCTGGGTTTATAAGCCTCCTGGTTGTCCTCTGAGGAGTTGCTAAGTCCATGAGCAACCTATCCTGACATCTCCTTTCCCTCACGTGGAATTTCTCCCAGTCCCAGTGCAGGACACTCAATCAGACCATCTGTGCTGAACGCTTCTGCCTGTCTAGAGTAGCAGGTGGCCAACTTGGCTCAGTTCCCCGCCATTCGACTGGGGCTGGGAGCCAAGATGCTCACAGAGCCTCCTGCGCTACATCACAGTGCAGGCGGGTGGCAGACCTCCCTGAAAAGTTCGAAATTAGAGATAAACGTACTTGTCTCCCCCCGGACAAAAGCCTAACAAAGCAGAGAGGTTACTGCAGGTTTGTAAGAGTGAACTCTTGAGTGTGGTTGTGAGAAAACTCTTCACTCAGGCTAGGTGTGGTTCAGCAGAGTCCTTTATTACATTCGCATGGAGAGGTTACCATCGTACGGATATGAGAGCAGCCTCTGAATGATGAGGTTTATTTTCTTAGCTTTGGCGCCCCGCAGCGATAGGTAAGACAGGCCCACATGCGCACAGGACCCTCCTTTCGGTAACGCTTCCTCCCCGCCTCTCACCCTCGTTCCCAGGAGACGGGAGACTCCCTGATGGCGCTGACCTACTGCGTGTCCTCGGCCTGCAACGGCCTCATCGCTGGCCAGCTGCTGTACTACTGGAACGCCAGGCCTGCGCCGAAGAGGAAGGCCAAGAAGAAAGCAGCATGAGAGAGGGGCGGCTGCCCAGCCCCCCCACTCTGTCCAGGACCAAAGTCCACCTCCGGGCGGAAAGGACTCAAATTCCCGTTCGGCGCCAGCGGACAGCCCTGTCTGCCCGCCCAGCCTCGGGTTGTTCCCACAGGGCCCACGCGCTTCTTTTTTTTCTTTCCTTCCCGTTATTTGTCCATTGCTCACAGTTTGTGTGAAAGAGGGGTGTCAGACACACACACACACACACTTTTCTGGGCTTTCCAGCTCCTGATTATTCCTAATCCTTTCATTCCAGTTTCAGACCACGTCTGATTGTAGGGATGGTACATTTTTCCCCGCCTTTGTTTCCTTTTTTTCCCCCCCGTGAATCCTGTAACTTGAATCAGTTTCATTTTGAAGAATAAAATGAGTTCAGATATGATTGTTCACGTCAGGGGTGGGTGGGGTCATACGAACGTCTGGGTAAAGAGGAGGATTACAGATGTGAGTTTTATAGCTCCCCTTGATTTCAAAATCATTGCTCCGGTCCATCTAGCAAGGGTCCCCCCCAAAAAATAAATCACAGACACAGTACATAGGTACAGCTTAATAAACACCATTGTGTTTATTAATTCAACCAGATTGATCTGATTGAATCAGACAATGACCTGTTGATGGAGAGTGCTAGCGCTCAGATGTGTGGCTAAATAAAGAGAACTCCACCTTGGTCACTCAATACAAGACATCGGAGACACTGGCACCAGAGCTGCGTACGAAGCGGTCGAAGATCTGCACACACAGACACACAGGCAGTGGGCGCGTCCGAAACTAGGATGCTGAAGAAAAAAGTTGGAATTGGGGGCAAAGGTTCCCCAAAGGCATGCCATTGGCATTCCTTATATTCCCTGTGGATGTCCCAAGCCGCCCACATCCCCAAGAGGGATGGCTGGCAGCAGCTGTGCTCTGCTTCTGTCCCACCTGAACACCATGCTCTCACTCCAGGCTACCACCCTGCCTCATCCCTGAAGGCCCAGCAGGTCTTCCCAAGGTGCAAAGCCAAGGAAGAAAGAGATGCCCCCCACTGCCCATACCCAGCATGCCCTGAAGCAGTGCAATGAAGAGGAGCACAGCTTTCCTGAGGGTTGCCTTTTTTTGGGGGGGGGGGGGGGGGTTGGGGTCTGCTCTCCCAGGGGCATGGTCAGAGCTCAGGCTCAGCCATTTATACGGCCCCCTTGGAGCAGCTGGGGTTAAGGGCCTTGTCCCATGGAGAACAAGCTGGGATATGTGAAAAAGACAAATTCCTAATGCAAGAAATTGTATAGGGCCAATAAAGTGATCTTCTCTTATCTCTTTCTTAAAGTATCACTAAATCATTAAATTGACCAAATCAAATGATTGATCACAGTTGCATTGCACAAAATGCAACCAGTGGTTGACTATATTTAAATTGTGGGGTGGACTGGGAGCAGGGCTGGAGATTCCTGTTCTCACTGTCCGGAAATCTAGAACAATCCTGGGCTATCGGGGCTCCCCACAACACTAACAGCTTTGCCCCTGGAAAGGGCTATCTAATTGGTCCCTATCACTACCTTAAGAGTCCAGGTACAACAAAATCTGACCAACTGTTTCTTTTTAAAACCAGAAAATGTTCAGGGTTCTCAGGGGTTTCGATATGTCTTGACGCCTGAAGAGCAGGGTGGTTACAGTGGCTCAAGCCCCTGCCCCTTTGCCCTCATTGGCCCAAGTGGCCTTTTTTTGCTTTTAGAAAAAAGTCCAACCAATTACATTTTTTTTATTCGCCACTTGACAATTCTGCTTCTGTATTTAGTACGGGTCTCCGGTTTGGGAAAAAAAAATGTTGGACCTAATTGATCTCATCCCAGCACAAGTGCCCGCCTCCTGTTCATTGTAAAAAACGGGGGAGGGCAGCGATAAGCAACGTAGGAAAAGGTAATAGGTTTATTCCATGCTGAAAAGAGAAGAAAGAACGTTTCGACCGAGGAGTATTGTTCAGGCTTCTTCACGACCGAAACGTTGTGTTTTCTTTCTTCTCTTTTCAGCATGGAATAAACCTATTGTTCCTTTGCAGCCTACGCATGCTGACGCTGCTGCCCACCTACTCAAGCAACGTAGGCTACTACACCTGTGGGAGTCGTGTTAAACATTTTTGAACGGTGAGAATATACACAGATTTTTCCAGAAGGACTGTAAAAACGTAACACACTAAGGGTGTCGTATTGAGCACTTTGTGTTTAAGAAATACTACATTCATTCACCTAGTCTACGTTTGCAAATTGACGAACTCGCCACGTTTATTGTCTGCATGGCTACTTCGCTAGCTCGATTTGAGATTTCCTTAAGAGAATTTAGTTAACTGAGTAGACAAGCCAGTCTTTTTGCATTTGATATAAATAGCTAACATGTATATTCTTTGTTGTATATGTATATATAGTTCAGTCACAGAAACAGGAGAGCATGCCTTCAGAAAAAAAAGGATAAGACGAAAAAGAGAACATTTAGGGAGGCAGCTGAAGGGAGCACATCGCTTCATAACTGGGTCACAACTAGCGGCAGACGGACAGGTAAATAATGGTCATCAAAAAAGTCATCATTTTATGTGCGCCTCAATAACAGAAGAGTCTTGCCTCACAAGAATGATTACATCGGTAAATGTTGTACGACTTCAAGTTTGGATGAATATCAAAACTGCCACCTATTTACAAAACAATATACAGACAATATGCGTAGTAATTCCATGATCATTTTTGGATATCTCTGCCAAGTTTTGTTGACAACACGTCCAATAAATAATTCTACTGAAATTCAATGTATAGCTTAATATGTAATTATAAAACTTGATGTTGATGTAAATAATAATGTTTAAACTTTTAGTAGTGTATATCGAGCAATTTTGATGAGATCTAGATGATGATTTCCTGCGGCTTCCTGAATATTTGTCCCACAATAGATACTTTTTGTGGAAAAAAAACTCTTTAATTTGATGTGCTATCGTGTGAACTCTTGCTCTTAAGACGGAAAGAGATTGCATTCGGTATTGCATGTAAATAGATGGCAATTCTTTTATTTGCTCTGTCCTCTTGTTAAGATGTGTTATATTAGGAAAATAAAGTATATGCTCAGTATAGGGGTGTAATATCTTGTCTGTTAATCAAACGTAATCAGCAATTATGGACAACCATTTTTTTTTTGCCAAGGTTGTGAATATTATAATGCCTCTGAAGCCACAGCCAAACTTCCTGTAGAATTAAAAATCACAGAAATACAAGCGGGCACTGACTTGTGTCCAGGATACACATGTAACAAATCCTGCCCCGAAATGTGCCCCTTCTCCCCTTTTGACCCACTGCCCACTAACAGGTCTCGGCACGGGAGAAGATGTTAAACTGGATTAAATAAACCAGTATTGTGCTGGTTGAGGTCGTTAAGAATCCAGCCGGACTGCAAACGTCCTAGAGACACACTGGCCCCCCTGGACCTGAAACTGGGGAATAACCAGTAAAACCGACCACCCGGTTGTTAAGGACTGAGCGGCCTTTCCGCCACCTGTAGTTCATACGGTAGCCACAAGGCGGAGCCGGAGCCCGTAGAAGAACTTGAAAACTTCCTTCGTTTTTAAACCTATGAAACCAGAGCGAAAAGTAAATAAACAAAACAATTTATGACGCAAACGCAAGAGGAGTAGGAGTCACTCAGATAAAATCCGAGAGGAGTAATTACAGGTGCCAGAGGCTCTGGTATGCGTCCTCCTCATTGCTACTGGATTAGCGGAGGACGGTGTTCGTTTGTTAAAAGCATTTTTACCCCGAAGGTTTGTGATTTACGCAGGTTAAAGCCTTGCTTTTTAGGATAGGCGCACAAACCAGCCAGAAAACTCCTAATTCGAGTTAAGACTACCAGCAAACGTTGTCAGGGACTTTTCTGGGGGGGAGGGTGAGAGCGCGCACAACAAATAGCAGGTGTGCGGGCTGAAGTGCTTCTCTTACGACTTAAAAAAACGTCGCGCCTAACGGGAGGCGCCCGTCGAAGCCCTTTCTCTGTTCTCTGACTCCTAAGCCGCCTTCGCTATGGGAGTGTGCCTTTAGAAGCTCTGAATGAAAACGCGGGGAGGGAGAACGTGGAGGTCCGTCTGCTCGGGAACTTCAGTCACTGGCCCGGCCGCGCAGATGAGGCTAGACGTTCCCCGCTTCTCCAGCTCACTGCACGGCAGGGACGGGCGGTGCAGAGCAGCTCATTGTGAGCGCCTGCTGGGCACACTGGGCGCTCCGTTACCAGCAGGGCGGCGGGCCTGTGCGACGGCCTTCGCTCCCGTGCGCGGTCACAACTTTGGATGCGCACGTCACCTCGGCCGGCGCCCTGGACACCGGCGGTGCGAACGGAGTGGGCCTGCTGACTCTTCGCTTGGGGGCCCGGAGAGGTTGAGGGGCGGGTTCGGCGGAAGGCGGGCATGGGGTTCGGGATGGTTTGAATTTTTGAAATCGTTCTGCAGTTTGGTCGAGCAGTTCGATTAAGTCTTGGGAGGGTGGGAGGCAGTTTCACATACTTTCTCCCCGTTTCTCTCGCCAGCCCCCCCGCCTCATTTCGTTCGGCCCTGCTTTCTACGTCTCTCTTTCACATGCTCGCCCCCGTCGTTTCCACCCTTCCTTTACGCTTTCAGTTATCCCCTCTCCCTCTCCCCTTTTCAGATTCGGCCCTTTCTCTGCGGGATAAAGCCTGTCCCGCTCTCTTTTCTTTGCCTGACATGTGAGCACCGCCCCCTTCCTTTCAGCGCGCCCGTCGCCCTGGCAACGGCAGTGCCGAACTCGGCCCTTCTCAGAACCGGAAAATTTTCAGAAAAACAGGCCGGCCCTCCCTCAATCGCCCTGCCTCCATGCCAACTATCGGCCCATAAGCCCTACCTTCCAAATCTCCTCTGCAGGTCCTTCAGCTCCAACCTCTAACGAGGGTCCCCTTACTCTGGTCCAGAATTACTCTGGCACCTGTTGGTTTTCAGTGCGGCTGAGCTTACACCAGTCCTTCAGTGAACCCACAAGGGCTGGAACGTTTATGAGTTTCAGGGTAGGAGATTCTAAGTTACTTAAGAAATGCAAAGGCAACTTTTAAATGCTTAAGAATTGAAAACTCTTAAAGGGTCCAAACTAAACCTGTTGAGGGTTCTATGTATTAATTGGGCACTCAGGTGGAACAAAACATCAGAGCCATGTCCGTCCTCAGGACTAGGACTGGGAACCCCAATACTAACCCACAGTATCTACTACAAACTATCTACAGATATGTTGATTCATAGGAACAGCAGATATTCTCCTCCAACAAACCCATCAGAGCTGGTCATCTTCTGATGTGCTGCACGACAGGACAGTTAGCGCTGAATAGAGGAGCAAAGTGCCTCTGGCTCATGGCACTGCAGGCATGCAGCAAGTCTGT